ACAGCAGATGCATACGAAAGATCCATTGGTTCAGGACCTTCCGTCTTTGCAGCCGGCCGAGGCGGGCATGGCACGTTCGTGTGCAGTTTAGCCTGTCTTAGGCTAAATTCCTCTTGTATGGCGAGGGCAATCGCAGATTCGAGAGTACTCGGGTACTCTCAAAAAAATCAGACACCGTCTAAAGTACGATGCTTCCGAGCGGGAGCAAAGGCAGCCCTGATTGTTTCTTTTGCTGCCGAGCGCAGCGATGGCGGCTGCGATTGGTCAATGATAGTTTGGTGTGGATACGTAATCGTACTTTACATAAATGTTGTGGTCTACATATCGTACTTTGTTGGAACGTTTGACTTGCGCTGCGTGTGGGTACACATAAGGGAGCCTTAGCGGCTGCAAACGTGATTCACATGTACGCTATTACAATACCAACTATTTAACCAACTGTACCGTTCCAAAACGTTCTATTCGCTAAATTTGCGCTATATTAGTATATGATTGGTTGACTTAAACTTGAAAACATTTGATTGGGTGATAAAGCGGAAGGTATTAAACTCTTATATTGACTAAAATGGAACAAATGTGCCCAACGTGTTCAGCGAAGATACCCGGTCCGGTCACGTATTACCCCATGGCGAATACTACGTGTTTGTGCTACAAGCACCGGGTGTCATGGATGGCCTTTGAGGACCACACGCAATGTTTTTGCATCGATCTCCTCGAGCTACGCTGAATATAATGTTCGCGCTTAACACAACAAACGTGAGACTTGGATAATGAACGCACGACGACACAATGTTGATATAAACACGAGGCGGATGCAGGTACTCAACAAATATAGTGCTTTACAATAGAGACAGGAAACGAAACGAAACTAAAAGGAACGGGACACGCCACGTGATTTGAGTATAGAACAATGTGGGCATTGAACAACGAACAGTAGCGTGCTACTATGGAAAAAGGGAAGGTCCAGAACACAATGCGCGCGAACCCAATATTGAGAATATACAACACAAGAACACAATACTGATGATAACAACAATACGTTGTCAAACTCGCGCAGCGAACGGGACGTATAACCATTCTACCGGAGCAAACACGACACTAGAGTAAAACAAACACAGCACAAACCTATGCACATAAGGCGTGACTAACACGAACGTGACCTTGAAATACACGCACATATGCAACTGAACTGTGAACGAAAACAACGACAATTGGCAGTATCAAATAATACAAGTTGTACGACAGCAAGGTACGAAACGCACCACATGATGCTAAGACATAATAAAACAAATACAAATCGGAAAGTTTACAAGGAGAATTCGATTAATCAATATAGTTACGAGGACACAATCCACACTACAGACACAGTATACAAGAAAAAGCAAAATACTTATGCTAACAAAAATAAAAGCGAAACGGGTAAACTTGCCGTCAGGGCGACCCCAGGTGCCCCGTATACGTCGGTTGTGAGCTCGGACTGTGGAATGAAAAGGCCGCACATGATGGATCTTACGTTAGTGTTTGCTGCTGAAGTGCAGCGTAGGCAGCCTAATTTGTAGTGGAGCGAGTGACGAGCAGTCGCGAGCGGAACGGATTACATCGTCATCTGTCGCGCGTTGTCGATACAGATGCCAAAAATGTGTGTACAAGTTGCTAATTGTTTATCGTCTAATCAACAAAGTATAAATAAAATATATAAATTAAGTGAAGGCGACCAGTATACGTTGGAGGAGATAATGAAGTGATAAATGGATAGGATAACGCTGATGCTACGGTAGTGTTTGGAGCTGACTTAGTAGTGGAGTGAGCAGAACGGGTTCCAACCCAAGATACACCTCCGCCGCGTATGCAGCGGAGTCTGGCTAGTTAAAACCGTCTAGCTGAGCACCGCGTCAGTCCGTCCCACTCGTGAGTCGGTATGACCCGTCACCAAAAATTCAGACACCGTCTAAAGTACGATGCTGCTGAGCGCAGCGATGGCGGCCCCGTTTGGTCAATATTAATTTGGTGTGGATACATAATCGTACTTTACATAGATGGTGTGGTCTACATATCGTACTTTGTTGGAACGTTTGACTTTTGCCCCCATTCCCAGACTCCTGAAGCGGAATGACTACACGAGTGCAACTGGCGCCGCGTGTGTGGCAAGGGCACCTTAGCCGCAGAAAAAATTATGTACATGTGCCCTATTCTGATATCAACTGCATAGCAAACTGCATCATCCTAAAACGTAC